AAATAATTAATAAAATTAATCAAGAAATAAGTTCATCTTATGATAAGAATGTGTGCAAAAATGCATGTTAAAAAGTTGCTCCAAAGTACAGGTAATAGAAGTAAATACAAGTTAAAAAACTGTAATTTTTCTAACTATACACTTACCAAACTTTCCACCTATCATTACAATAAACTCTTCTTCATGATGCTCCACTGTATACTTAAAAAAGTAACCTTTGATTACTGAAACTTTGTGAAAACCTTAAGGTTTTCACATACACTATAATTCTGAAAATAACTGCATTTTTTTATATTGTCTACCAAATCTTTTACAATATGTTAATATTTGAATTATAATTATTTGAAAAAAAAAATCATAAATTGAACCAGGGGGTCGCTTAAAAAAGTAAAGGCTCAAAATATAGTGGGTAAAATTGGCTATGATTATTTTCAAAATAATTGTATACAGCAATCAATAATGTAGTTATAAATGGGATGTAGGATTTTTTTTTTTGAAAATTTATGTTCCAGGGGGTAATATCTTAAAAATAGGTTTTTTATAAATAAATATTATTTATTACAAAAAAATAAAAATCTGCTTCCTACATCTCATACTAAATATCTATGTGGATGTATGTTCATAATTTCAATCAAAAGGGGAAAATACTTTAGTCAGGGTCTTCTGCACTGTGATGTTACTACAAAAATATTTATACTGAGAAAAACAGTGTTTTATTTTTAAAATGTTGCAAAAACATCCTTCGCCCACTGAAACTTAAATAAAATTTTGACAAAATACTTATTGATACATGCTTCATTAAAAAAGCAATCAAGAAAAAAATATATATGATAAACTGCTCAAAATTATAAAGTTTGGTATACAACTTTAGTATGCAATAGCATACAATATTTGAATTAGTTTTTTTTTTTTTAATAATTTCTACATAAAATAAAAAGTATATTGAATTATAGATGTAAATATGTTATATAGAAAAAATATATATATTACTGATTTCTTTTTGAATATTTTATTACCACGAAAAACATTTATAAATTTATCAAGGTACGAATAAAAATATATTTGCAAAAATCAATTTTATCTAGGCATCTTTTTAAGAATAAATAAATTTAAACTTTGTGTATATGTTCATGACAGATTGGCTTTTTTAGTTATAATCTTAAAAGGTTAGGATTTAAGGTTAAAATAACATTCTCTCTGTCCTAAGCATATTGATACTTGGTGTACATATTAGAGAAACAAATCAAAGTTTTGTAGTATTAAACAACTTCAAAATTCATTTGTTGACCTTTTAAGACCACTGTTCATAAATTTTACAAACAGTGAGCTTCTTTATCGCTGTTTGCTAGGTTTGACACAAAATCAAAATGAATCTGTGAATGGGGTTCTTTGGTCCAAATGTTCTAAAACTAAGTTTTGCAGACAAATCAAAGTTGAAATTGCGGATTCAGAAGCAGTGCAGCAGTTTAATGCTGGTACAAAGTCAAGATTAGAACTTTTAAAATCTGTTGGATTACCAATTTACAGAAATATGGCTACTGCTGTCAGGCAACAAGCAAGAGTTTAGATTAAATTTACTGCAAAATAAAAAAACTTGAAAAAACTAGAAATAGGTGATAATAAGCTGCGAGCTCAAAAAAGATCTAAAATTGATGAAACAGTTTATCTTGCAGATAGTTTTGGATTGTCTACGGAGCCAGAAAATTTCAGTAACAATTAGTAAAAGAAAAGGTGTCAAAAGACAAACAACCCCTTTGTTTTTATCAGGTGATCCTGTTTTTACAAATAGAAATGTTAACGTAGTGTTTGTTGATGAAAATGCGATAGAGTTTGTTTTAAAAGGCATTAAACATTTTTAAGAGTTTTTATTTTGCTTTTGTCATGATAAAGTGTTTATATACAAATGTTATATAGTGTATGACTTTACATAATAAGAAAGTTTTCAGGGGAAGAATGTAACTGTATAATAGGTCAAACAAAAAAATAAATACCCTTAGTAAACAAAATAAAAAATGGTAACTAAGGAAAAAAATATAGGAATAATAGTCTCACAAAAAACTCCCAAAAAAATTACTTGTTGTTGGAATTTCGAAAAAAAAAAATTACATGCTCTTGAATAGATTGACCAAAAATTAAAGCCAAAAAAAAATCATTTTTTTTTTTACTTTTTATAAAAAGATTGTGTACGGCCACATAAAAAAATCTTCAAAAAACTTTGACTTTAATAATTTTCCAAATCATCCACGAACAACACTGCTAAAGTCTTTAAAAGCTATAATGTTCTTACCCAAATAAATTATAGCAGATAAACTTGAAAGCAATCAGGTTTTCTTAGAAACAAGTTGGATGTATTTCCTAGTAATCTGTGTGAGTAATCTTGTAAGTTACCTTTTTACGGTACTCTTATAAAGTTTATTTTAGACAACTTTTTACTATCTGAAATTCTTAAACAATCCTCTCAAACAAATATTTTTAATAAGCGTAAGAAATTTTTCTCCTATGCTAAGAAATATATCAAAGCATGATATATTTCTTAGCATATTCTTAATATATAATACTCCTCGTTAGGATTAATTACATTATTAAACCAGTGGGAAATTGGTTAGCTATCATAATTTTTAACGATAAAGAAAGCGATTTGGTGACGAGGATCGCTAGGTAAATAAGCTAGCAACTATATAGCGAAAACTCGTAACGATAAAAGCAGCGATATGGCTACAAAGCTAGCTAGTAAAGTTAGCAAAAACTCGCATTAAATTATTATTTGTTATATTAAAAATTCATATTTATACTATTTCCCTATAGGGTAGTGCGGAGTTGGTTGTCACGCGGATTGGTTGTCACAAAATTTATTACAAAAAATTTAGATATGATTTAGAATTTTGAAACCGTGCAACAGAAACCTTATTAAAAAAAGACATTTTCATAGTTATTGTCATCTTTTTTAGCGCGTGGAAAAAATGTTATTTGTTTTTACATGTTATGACATGTAAAAATTAACTTTTACACACTTATATATAGAGTTTATATATAAGTATGTAAAAATATACTATAGTGTTTTTCTTTTTCTATACAGAAATTATTTAATTGTGTTTTGAATGTACATTTTATAAAGTTTATTATTCATTTGAGAAACATAGTCTACAAAATATTTTTATGAAATTCAGACGCTTTTAGGTAAATTTACATTTTAGTGTCTTTCTACTAACATAAAAGAGGGTACTAGTCACAAAGTAAATGCGAACGGCTATTACGTTTGCCTCGACTTTGCGCACACGTTGATCAAATGTATATAATCTAACGTTATTCCATACACATTAGGTTAACGTTGGGTTAAAGACATTGAATCAGCGTTAATCTACATACATTAGATCAATGTGAGGTTATGCGCATTTGAACAACGTTGATCTATATACATTGGATCAACGTTAATCCCTACACATTGGATCAACGTTTGGTTTTAATCGGAAAAAACAACTTTTGCGATGGTTTTACACTTTGTACCAATATAATTTTCCCAACTTTTTTTAATTACTAATTTAGGTTATTAAGGTTTTCATTAATATAAATATTATAAAATTAACATTGGATCAACGTCGTATTTGCATCGAAGAAAACAGCCGGCGTTTGTAATGTTTTGGCCCAACGTAAGTGTGTTATCTGGGTAATGATAAAAACAAGCAAACTAGTCAGACTAAAAATCCTATATTACATGTGAATGGAAGTAAAAAAAATGTTAAAGTCAAATTTTATTAACAAAATTAAATTGTACTCAAATTTGCACTAACTGGTTGTAATCTAAACATGTCAAGAGTTGTAACAACCAACTCACACTCTGTGACAACCAACCCCGTGGTTTGGGTTGGTTGTCACACTGCAGAGGACTTTGAAAAATGATTTTACAACAAAATATATTTAATTTAATGTCATGAAATCGTTCAAATAGTTACCGAAAATACTTAAACTACCTTTATGCAAAGTTTGGCTTTGACTTAATAAAAAATAAAATATAAGCATTCTAAAACATAAAAAATGTGACAACCAACCCCGCTCTCCCCTACTATTATTTTCGTAACTATTATCTATTATAGGGTATTATCATATTTACTTACTATATTTGCGGATGGCTTTGTTAACCAAATTGACACAATGCTTATTATTATATTAAAGCGCCAAACTTCTTTTTATACCACCAAAACGTTTTTCTTTTTTTGTTTATTGTTATATCTTTTTATCACTATTATTTTCAGTTTTATCTAAAAATTCATACTGAAAGCTACAAAGCTATGTAGCGAGCGAATAGATACAAAATTATAGTTAGCTTAAATAATATTATGATAATAATATCTTCAGCTAGAAAGCTGTGCTGTGTATACTTATCACGTGGTGTGTATTCACAGCCCAGTTTTTTAACGGCATTATTATTATAATACTATTTTGGCTCCAAATGAGTACTTATAAGCCACTGCAGCTAACTTACCCCGAGACCGGGGCTAGTTGCATACAGTATTAGTTTATGATCTTAGTATCTTAGTGTCAGAAATTAAATATTTGTTTAATGATGGTTGCTTTTGTTTGAAAAAATATGTATGTTTTTGACGGCAGATTTTTTTGGAGATTATGATATATCTTTATCTACAAAAAAATCTGCTGCCAAAAACATAAATATTTTTTTAAGCTTCAAGTCTTAAAGTTATAAGTTTAAAACTTGGAGTTTAAACTTGGATATGTTTATGATAATTAAACTTGGATATTTTTATGCTTATTTAAAATGAGAATCCTTTGCAACAAATTACAATAATTGCAATTTCATTTAACAATATTTTAGCGTTAATCAAAAATTTCTAAGTTTAAAATGTTATCAAATAAAATCCGGCGACCCTGTATGTGAAAAGTTATATTATACATTTGAATTGTATTGTTATAAGTGATAAACAAGAAAAATATTAAGAAAAAAAAAGATTTAACAATACCATTGCGCCTAAAAACTAAACTACACCTTAGATTGACATATGTAAGTCCTATAAATTATTTCAGCAAAATAAAATGCCGCTGATCGCTGAGTAAGAGTAGGTAGAAGAAATTAGAACGATATGAAAAAGTCTGTTGAATCCGTTAATCTTGTTTTTATCAGTCTTTATTTTTTTATTTTTAATTATTAAGGTCCTCCTCTGCGGTGCTCTGTGAACACCAAAAGTTTATCCAGGAAGTTCACGAATCCTTCCTTACCAATGTTGCTTGCACATGCATACATGGTAACTGAGGGGAATTGAATCTAAAATAAAATAAAAAAGAAACTTAAGGAAATCATTTTGTCTATTGATGATATATTTTTGTATTTTTAAATATTGAATAATTTACTTTTTTATTTTTTATGCGGTGATGTAGCTGAATATGTATATGAATGCACTTAAATTTTTCTTGTGCTTTATATACTTGACCATGTATGTATACATTTGATTTTTATGAGATTTACGAGCGGTTCTCGATAAAGACTTGATAGTCTTCAGCGAGTGTCCGCTTTCTTTTTATTTATTGAATCAAATACTTGTTAAATATAGGTAAACAAATTATTTTTTGTTTATCTATATTTTCTAGTTGTAAAAGGATTTTTTAATCTTAACGATTTAATTTATTTGTAAAACGACTTTTATACTTTGTATAAATTTTTTCAGCATTGTCTATAACGCACGTATTTAAAAAAATATTTTGAAAAGTACCATAAGTAATAATAAGTAAAAGTCTTTACTTCTTTTTTAAAAAAAACTTTTTTTGTAACAAAAAAAACAAGAAAAACTTTCTTTTGAAATATAATAACTTTCCACTGTCGCCTCGATTTTAGATATAATAATTTTCGATAATAATAACCTCGATTTATAATAACGATAATAATAACCTCGATTTATAATAACGATAATAATAACCTCGATTTATAATAACGATAATAATAAACATATAATAATTTTCCACTGTCACCTCGTTACGTTAGGTTATTTCCCGCAAGTTTTTCTCAGAAATGCGGAAATAACCTGACGTAACTTCGATCAAATTGCAATGACGTAATCGAGACGAACCATAAATTTTATAAGAAAAAGTTTTTAGTTACTACAAAAGTTTGACGATTTTGTAATATGATATTATTTTATTGTTATTATTTATATTGGTTTTCATTGGTATTTGTATTAATACTTAATTTTTTATTGGTTATTAAATTTTGTTTTTTGTTTAACAAAAAAGAATTAAAAATTATGGATGCAAGTATTGCATTTAGAAATAAAGATATTTATTATTAGTTCCACTAAAACTCGTCTTACGCAGCTTTAGAAAGTAAAACTTGCTTAAATATTGAAAGTGGTGCAGAGAGATATTGCAAAGAAGAAGTTGTTTGCGAAAAATTTTAAAGTTTGAAATAGCAGTTTGAGCAACTCAAGGTGGTTCACCTATGAAAACGAAATTCAACTAAAATTTTTAATATTTTTTTTTTAAATAACTATTATAAAAATAAAATAAAAATGAAAAAAATTTTTTTAAATAAGTTTGCCTTGATTATCCATAATATTTTATGCAGTTATGTGTAAAAAAAAATGTAAATTACATGATATAACTATTAACAAAGCTCATGACAGCTGTTTCAAAATCATGCTTACTGCTATACCTCTCATTTGTGCCATGGACATAAGAAGCAAATTGTCCCATATGATGTAATAACATTTTTTGTAAAGATTGCATTAAAAACCAACATTATTGCATAACATTTTGCATTATTGCATAACATATTGCATATGAAACTGTCATGCTGGTAAATCAACCGTTTGATCATTTATGTCTTGGATAAATGATAACAATGATAGCAAATGGGTAAATCTACAGTGTTAAATTATATATGTGTTAAATTAAAAACTGAAAAATAATTTCAGAAAAAATCAACTTTTAAAATATTTTATTTAAATATACAATTTTAAACAATTACAACTAGAATAAACATATCAAAACCCCCAGCATTGTATGCCATTTTTTTCCTTTTGTAACTTTTTTAAGATTAAAATAACCTTTCTTTTTTGTTTGTTGAATTTTGCTTTGTTCTTTAACAGGTTGTTGAAAATTGTGTTCCATATATTTTAACGATATAATATGTTATTTTCTGAATATTTTATTTTTGCAGCTGTTAAAAAGATAAAAAAAAAGTATTTAAAAAAGTTATTTCACAATAAGAAAGCTAAATAAATTTGTACAAAAATCATATAAAATAGGGTGACCAAATGTCTGAGGAAAATACAGTGCTGAACTTATAAAAATCAAAATTTTTGCTTTAGTTTCCATTGTAAAAGCCGAACAACGATATATATATATATATATATATATATATATTTATCAAGCCTTCCGGGAAAGCGCATGCTGTCGCACACCTTGTTTGTCCATGTTTAAAGTAATTTTTTTAAACTAACTGACCATGGCAGTTCGTAATACATTTTTTTAATGATGGAATAAGTTAAATAAAAT